TTGGTTGACAAACAGTGAGTACATTTTCATGTACGTGCAACCAATGTTATAAAGTAATACTGCTTTTCTTAACTTCGAATTTCCTACAAGCTGCCTACTTATAGATACCAATACCACCAATACCAAATGGTATTGGTATTGGAAGTATTGGTATTGTTACATCCCTAATTTTATTATTAGTGGATATTGTTAGTTTATGTTATTCGTCAGAAATTGATGAAATATCGGTCAGACAACTTGAAGATGTTATTTTACATCATAATGATTTAGTCAGAAAACTTTATTCAAACACTCTCAAACAAAAATACCATTTTTTATTGCATTTACCTCGTGAAATGGCACTTTTTGGTCTGTTAAAGGACACATAATGCCTTGCATCAGAAAGAAAACATCAGTTTTTCAAAGATAAAAAAATCTGTTTCTCTTGCCTTTTATCTGTATTTATTGAACGTTATCTTTTGAGGAAATAAACATCGTAATTTCAAGAATTTAGCAAAAACTTGCACAAAACGGCATCAAGTCTGGCAATGTGTTACTGATTACAATGCTGATGGTTCCTCTTCATCAAATATGCTCAAAAACAAACCAATTCTTCATCGTGTCATCCCATTGCCACAAGATTTAAAAACAAATGTTCAATCATGGGAGTTACACCAATACATTTGGCTGAAATAATATTAATGGAATATCGCACACATGCTAATAGATCAAAGTCTTTAGTCTACGTCGACATCGCTTTAAGATTCTAATCTTAGTAATTGAAATTAAACTAAATTTTATTAATTTGAATTTAACCTCATTTAATATAGCTTGGCCTTCAGCTGAGCCATGTCGAGATGGCACAGTGCCTTTGGTCTGTGTCGTGTTCGCTTAAATGAGACATGAAATTGAATAAACAGCACTAGTTGAAGTCGACATGGACCAGTGGTTTATGTTGAGCTGACTGAAAGGAACGTTTTCCTCGAAAACTCCGTTGAAATCACAATATGTTAAACAGCAGTTGTCTACTGATTTCATTAGTTATTTCACTACTTATATCTTACGGAACATTGAAGAACTTGGTAAGCAAACATTCTAATTTGTTTATTAGAACTGCTTCAAGTCTTATGTGAAAGGTAGCCTAAAATACATGCATAGAGATTAATTTATTCGACGTCGAATTATACTATATTAGCATTTAAAAGCATAGATGAAGGAGTTTCACATTTAAAACGCCAGAAAACGTTAAGAAGCTTCTTTAAAAATACATTCTGTCTTTCACACCTGATTTGTATTCATACGATATAATAAACCTTTATATAACAATGAATCATGCAGCAATCATCGCTATGACAAATATTAAATGATAGTGTAAATCGATAACTTTATTTTTCATTCACTATACAACCGAACAAAAAACATAATCATGTATATTGTAGAAGAATATGTGCACAGAGAGAGCTAGTACGTATTGATTACTGAAAAAAATTATGATATTGTATTAGAGTAAAACCACTCTGTTGTGAGTACCATCGAGACTTCTGAAAAGCTTTGACTATAGGGAGGTGTTTACTTTAGAGAGATGGTGCCTATTTTGCTGTGAAATGAAGAAAACGTTTTAAAATGTCTGTTTCTACGCTCGCTAGTTCTGAAGCTTTACTGTTCATCTCTTTACCACTTATTATTATTATTTAATTCAATTTTTTCCTTTAGCTCGTGTCATGATGTCATTCTTTTTTTTGCATATGTACAATGGTCAGTTCTAGTACATAAAGTATAATCACTTTTAGTAAATAAGAGACAGATGCTAGACAGTAGAGAGAGAGAGAGAGAGAAACATTGCATGCGAGTTCACATTAGAAAGGTTATAACAGCAAGAGAGACCGCAAAGAAACTGTTCATGGTCAGAATATAGAGGTGTTCACTAATAGGAATTTTACTATATATCTTTTAGTATCAAACTTCGGACTGGATATAACTGGATGACCAGAAATGTTCAGATTTATAAGAATTGGAACCTTATATCCGTTCTAAGTAATTGATTTACAAATATCTTATATAAGCATTGTTACGAATTATTATTACGATAAAATATTTTACGGGCACAAATAAAACATTAACTTTTTTGTCTTTTTATGTTTTTTTTTAAACATTTTTATTCACGAAATAATAGTGAAAAAAGAAAGGTACGACAACAAAAGAAACACATGTATGGCAAATTGGGATACCCCAGTCTATGTCGGATTCTACATGAACACTATAGAACAAAATGAGTATATAAAGAAGAGAGATTGTGGTAGTGTTGGTGAAGAGAGAAATGGGAATCGACTTCTAAGACCCGCTCTATCCATGTGACATCCTGCTCATAGAGACTAAGTACATCATGACTAATTCAATCTTCCGATATAGACTTCTACACTTGATAAGACCACAGAAAATGATCCTTATCTTTAGCTCATTTTGTTCAGAAGCGTGTGTTTCTATGCTCTTGTCATTGCCTCTAAAAGTAGTGAAAGAACACGTTTGTCTTACAGCAGAGTGTTCATATTCACTCAGAAATGGCATTTTATCTCTGCTGTTTTTATGCTTTCTTTTTACAGGTTTTTGCTATGTAAAAATAAAATATGTTTTTTTGTTACGATATCGGACATTTTTTGACTGAGCTTGGTATGGTTGTATAGTATAATGAATGAACGCTTATATCTGTGTAAAGAATGCATTAGTTTGGCTAGTATATTCGACAATTGTTTCAGGATGATTTGTTTTCCGTTTATAATATATTAAGTGCAACGCATCAAACGATAGTAATGACTTATGTACATTTATTATCTAAGTACGTCGTTTCTTTGACGTACCCTCTACAAATCTCTTTGTCCTCCAGCAATTGGGGACTTTTCTCAAAAAAGTTCTCAGAATAATTTAAGCATAGTGGTTTGCATGAATTTCTACTGCAATAAATCAAAATTCGAACAAAAACCATAGCTCAAACATTTTTAAGAGCAAGATTTTTCAGTGTCAAAAGAACGGCTCTTTTATAATTTAAATTTCGCATTGATTACAGAACAAATAGCCCCCAATGACTTGATTGTATTTGTGAGATTATCTGAATATAAGCACAGATTAATGTAATATCGAAGTAACGACAAATCGTTTATAAAAAAATGTCAAGAAAGAAGATACACTGGTATGAGAGGGTACAAGGTTGTCCGATGAGGCTTTTCGTCTTTCTAGTGCTTTTTTTGTCACAGTTCAGTAGTTTCTTTAAAGCGAT